TACTCTGCTTTATTTCATACTATTAATTTAATTTTTTAGAGTTAAATTTGTATTAAAAAAAAGCACGCAGGTATAATAATATAAAGAATTAAAAAATAAAAAATAAAAATTGTTGGCCGTGGGATTGAAACCCATCTACTCCCCCTTAATTCATGCTATACGATTCTGAAAACCTTTGTTAAATTATAGAGTTTTGCGTTGAATTCTTTTGCAAGTTGGGTACCTGCATATGTACATACATATACTTACATATATGAAAGTATCAGTATATCCAACTAAGTATATGTTGCTCACTATTTAGCATAAGAAAATACCACACGTGTGGCACGGCTGCAAGATGTGTTGCCGGTTTGGTTGCTAGCCATACTCGACTTTCAGTTACACAACATAGCATGACCCAACTGCAAACGTAAGAGCAACAACTTACAGCTGAGTTAAAAACACTTAGCCAAATGCAAGCAAGTAGGTAAGCGCGTGCTTTTATCGTAACAACAACTGCTCATTGGTGGCATGCAACACTGCTACGAGTACACGTCACTGCATGCATCCTTCTAGGTTTCGAATTCTAAAAAAAATGCCTGCAGGAAATGGGTTGGACTACTTGTCGTGCCACACAGCAGCGCAGTAATTGCAGAGGAGAAAGCTAAAAGTAAAAGAAAACGTTGCAAAACGTAGCACCACTACTTATGTATGTATGTATGTATTTTTTGACTGATGTGGCGGTTTTGATTTCAACACTGCGACGTGTGTCCGCCGTCAAGCATATTCTACGCCAACTGCAGTTTATTCATGGAATATTTAATGTGGGCGCCAATGCGTTTTGAGCGTCGGTGGCCTGCGAGCTGGTTAAGGAAAGGTTCGCTCGCCTTTGTCCACACTCCAATTTAGTTAATACATACATATGTATGCACACACATTTCGACTGTGGTTGGCTGCAGTTGGCTCTCTTTGGCGGCTTGCTCGATTTTCATGACCCGTAAATACTAAATTGGACGCGTGATTAGGCTACGCCCTCAGGCGGTGCAAACTGTCTAAATAGCCGACTTACCTCCCGTGGTACCCTTGGCACCGCGTAAACCGTACACCTTTTGCTCATGCACATGCAACCGTCGAAGGATGCCCAGGATGTATGCAGTTGTACAAAGTGAGCGCAACCGAAATTTTCCTCCCTGGCGCTTACTTAGCTGTAGTAACTGCCACTATTGCTTGGGTAAATGTGTGCGTGTGCGAGATTGTTTTCATCAAAACCCTGCCGTAAATCTGATTAGGTCAGAACTAGCGTAGAACTAGACCTTCTGCCAACAGTACTAGTTCTAACTCAATACCCAAGCAATGCTTTCAACTGTCCAGTTTTACAAGGCGATGTTATTGGCGGTGACAATTGTCGCTCAGTGCACTACTTTACAACTAGTTTTTAACCGGTTCCATTTTGGACATTTTTTTTATAAGAAAACGCTTTCCGTTTTGTTCTCTTCTTCTACATATTCCATTTTTGTTACATATTTTATAAAAAAAAAGAAAAATAAAAAAAATTATTGCAACAATTAAAAATCGTTAAATCTGTAAACTCACAACTGCCTCCAACGCGATTTGACTAAGCTAAGAGTGCTTGAGTCGGAGCTCTTCTCGCTGAGCTGAGTACTTTCATTTTGTATGTAGTTCGGAACTAGCGCTTTACCAGACTCTCTCCAAATAATACTGCAGGGAATAAGCTCACTCGTTTCTTTGGCCTTTGTGTGTGTTCGTATGTATGTACGTAAATATATACATGAGTGTTCTTTTGCTTAAGCGAGTGTATTTTGCTTGTAAGCGCCCATTTCTGTTGCAAGCTAATGCTCCGTTATAGCTTGCAGCACACACACACAGTTGAGTCTACTGAGATTACTCCTGGCCTGGTGAAATTGGTAATTTTCTGGCGCATTTGAGCTGCTTCTTTGTGCCATATAAAGTTGAAATTAAATTTCTTTCAGCATATAAGCTGCTTCAAACTAGCTAAGGTTAGAGGATAACCACAGAGCTAGACCGAAACCTTTAAGTTTCCACAATGGGGATTTTATAATAGAATAATTTTTAAGGCGGCACCGTTTTTTTGTTGTTAATATTTTGTTTAGTAAAGATGCGAAAGTGGCCAAGCTTTTTGTCTGTACACCTGCCGAGATTAAATCCGGACAGTATAATATACATATATAAACAGTATCAGTAATAGAATTATTTTACAGATATCAAGGAAAAACAGGAAGATAAACACCAAGAAGATATCAGAAAACATTTCTTGGGTAGATTACGAATCGCTACCGATCTTCAGTTGTCAGGTTGCCACTGGCTGAAATAGTATTACAGATGACAACTGGCAACTGAGTTGCTTTATTGGCAACTGAATTTTTGTGGCTGCAGCGGAAATATTTATTGAGATAATTTATTTCGTTTTTCAACTGTTCCTTCAGATTATTTATAGTCAAACCATAGGTCATTCAGTAGCGTGGCCCACCGGCAACCCAACTATGGCTGCATTGCAATCCATAATGCAACCACTAATTCTGTTAGATCCAACGCTTGAAGGATTGATGCCACCCAGTTCTGTTAAACCGCCAAAACAGACTGGTTTAATAAAACGGAATTCTGGTCCTTTCTTATGCTGCGCCGATGCACAGGATATTCTCTACCATTTCTTCTGCATCTAACAAATTACAACTACTACAAGATGTTTTATGCTGCAATCCTAGTTTTACAGAATGAGTACCTAGAGCCCGTTTAGGTGAACAGATTACTTTGAGCGGGCTTTGGCGTCTCCTTTTGAATCGAGGGAAAATTTAATATTAAAGTAATCAGAATGGACGAATTGGAACTCAGGGTGTTCAACAAAGCCAGTAAGAGTGGAAAACACTCCGACTGGGCACTTTACAAGGGTCTTATAAGTCCGGTATAAGAAAGGCCAAATGTAAGTGATGGAGAAATTTCTGCGAAATCGTAGCAGCTTGTAATGAATCGACTCGATTTTGGCAAATCCTCGCGAGGAACCCCATATCATTGGGATACTTAAATGACGAAGAGGGCAACTGAGCGATGATTGGGGAACAATCGCTTAAACTACTCCTTGACACTTTGCAAGCAAATTCTGCATCGCATGAGCCTATTGGTGTTGGAATGGGTGACTGCCCCACATCATCCTTCCTGCACGACTTCCTGCCGCGAGAAATGGACCGGAGTCTTCGAGCCTAGCCCCAAAAGGATCCTTCTTCACGCACATCCTTCTAAAGGACGAATTGGAGAAAGGTAGTCTCTGTAGTAAAGGTACAAAAACATCTTAACGGACGGATTGAAGCTGAACGGGAGAGTTAGAGGAGGTGTCTACTCTCAGGAAGTCTCAGTAGATCTTATGTTCAGACTGTCAGATCTCTGCAGCATCTTTCCGGCCGAGGTAGCCGCTATAAAAGAGGCAGCCTATTGGCTAGGCACTATTGTATTGTCGACTAGGAGGGAAAATATCTACACTGTTAGCCAGGCGGAAATTAGGGCGCTGGGATCGTTAATGGTCCGATAAAAACGGGTCGGAAAATATCTGACCTCTCTCTCTCAACAGCCCCGAAATACTTCCAAATCAAGCTGATTTGGGTCCCAGGACACAGTGATATTACTGGAAATTGCGGGCCTGATAAATTGGCTAGGCAGGGCACCCTCGAGGTCAGCCCCTCGTACAGTCGACTCAGCGAGCGTTGGACGGAAACCTCGACATGCAAAGTTGCAAAGGCCTTCTGGCCGGTTCGTGACCGCTTAAGGTTAAGGGGGCTTCTACAACTAGCTAAGCGTCAGCACTCGATTCTTACAGATGAACTGACCGGACATTGTCCTTCCGTGACCCACACGATGCGACTCAATGTCCTCACGGATCCCTACTGCCACAGGTGTCCGGGAGACGAGGAGAAATCATCTCAGCACTTCCTCCTCAATTACTTTAATGGCAAGAGTTCTTAGTCGGTTTGTGATACCGTTGAACTTTTCGCTGAGTATTTTAAATCTAATTCTGTTATTGATGCTATCTTTAAGATAACTTTGTGCTAATGCAGGGGAAACCAGTTCTCACTATTTTGCGGTCAGCGGCCATCAAAAGTAGTTACTTACGGCCAAAGGAAATAGCTAATAAATAGTTGCTACTAGTCGACTGATAATAGCTAATACTTAGCTACAAACTAGTCCCATTCCTGCAGGCTATCGATTCGCTAACTTGGAAAAACCAAAAATTACGCTGTTTGAAAAAACCATGTTACTTTTTTCTTAGTGTACGTATTTGCTATTTACGTCGCTAATAACCCTTCCGCCCTTACCGATTTTCTATTCACCTTCCACTTACCTCCATATGATTGGGCGTATATCGCATCGGCATAGCTGGCACATGTTTACTGCCATCGTAACTGGGCGGACTTAGCGGTCTACGGTAGCTGGCTGCTTCCTGCAGCAGCGCCTCCTGTGCCGAAGTAGGCATGCCAGCCTGCGTCAAATTGTAAATGTCTTCATAATCGGAGAAGATGCGATTTTTCGAACGTCCATACGCGTCCGGTGTGCGCCGCTCCGCATTCGGATAGAGCGTCAAGTGTGGCGGATAACGTTGCTGCATCAGCTTCTGCATGTAAAGCTCGCGCTCGCCATAAATCTCCTCACTAGTTCGTTGTTGCTGTTGCATGCGCAACATTTGCTCCTCGATATCCATATAATTGGAGTGTGTGGCCGGCGGTGGCGGTGATTTAGGGTAATCTTCTGGGGACAAGCTCATTTGTTGCTGCAATTGCGCCTCCAACTGGTCTACGGAGTATTGTTGTTGTGCTTGTTGTAGCCGCAAAGCGGAAGAAACATTGCCGGTGCGTGTGTCGTAGATGGCATGATGCTGTTGTGGTTGCTGTGGCACGCGTGTCTGTTGTTGATAGTGCTGCTGCTGTTGTTGCATCTGTTGCAGCGTTGGCGACATAACACCACCATGTCGTCCAGTTTGCTGTTGTTGATGGTGTGATTTTCGTTCGTTGTCAATTGAGTGTTCGGGACTAGGCGAGGAATAGCCGCCGTCATTGATGCGTCGTGGTTTGGGGGGCGCGTTAGCGTACAGAGGTTGTGCGCCACCACCACCGCCGTTGGCGCCGCCGCCGCTGTTGCTGCTCGATGCCGAGTTTGCGTTGGCATGCTCGGATGCGGGCGTCACCTGACCCTGATTCAGGCTCATCTTGCTCTGCTGCGACTGGAGCGTATGAATGCCAGAGTCGGAATTTTCGCCGCTGTGATTGAGTGACGAGGAGCCGCTTGGCTGATCCGACTCGCCGCTGTTGGGAGCCTGCATTGTTGTGGCGGCGGTGAGCGCACGCACCCATTGCACCATCGCCTCGCCCGTCTCAGCGGCTAGCCAGTAGGTACGCATGTTTTGGTGTTCGCACTTAAAGGCATACTTTCGATAGATTTTGTCTTCTGGCAAGCAGGCGGACACTTTGTACGACGGCAAGAGTATGGAGCCGAGCAACTTCTCCTCCTCGGGACCTTTGTAGTAGTAGAGACAATATTCGGCAAGCACAAACCAGCGTTTTCGCCACACCTTCAGCCCATCCGAGCCCTGCTTATAGAGCCAACCGGAAAGGGTAACAGGCGAGGAAGGCGGACGCTTGGTGATGGGTGACTTAAGCGCCTGCATTGAGCCAATACTTTTCTTGCGATCCAGTGGCGCGTGCGAGGGACTCTTGCCGGACGAATCCTCCGAACTAGGAGTTGTCTTTTGAACCACAGCGCCGCCCTTTACTGCAGATATTTGTGTTTGACAGGCCTGATTAACGACGTGACCAGGATGATTTTGCTGTATGTACACCGGACTCTGTTCGTTGCCTGGCGTCTGCTGTTCGGACTTCAGACGCTGCTGTTGCTGAAGGACGTGCTGCTGCTGCAACTGCTGTTGATGTTGCAGCTGCATTTGTATTTGATGCTGCTGTTGATGTTGATGTTGCTGTTGTTGTTGTGCGTAGATTTGTTGCTGATCCTGTGAATGATAATGCTGCGGTTGCTGTTTTTGATTGACCTTCAGTGGGCCGCCCGCTGGCTGGAATGGACTGTTTAAATTCAGGGTGGAGGGTGGCGCGCGGCCATGCGCTGATGCGGCGCTTTGTTGCTGCTGCTGCTGCTGCTGTGTGGTCATCGAAGACATGACGCTCGACGACTGACTCATGTGGAAGTGTCCTTGCGGCACTGGCGGGTTCAATGCCTGTCGCATGGCGAATGTGCGTTGCTGCTGCTGCACAGCCTCGTTCTGTGTTTGCATCTGCGCCTGCAGCTTGGCCTGCTGTAGCTGTTGATATTGTTGCTGTAGCGCCGTGGCAGGATTAAGCGATGAAGTTGCCTGCAGGCGGCCCGCCGCGGTCAGGTAGGTGCGTTCCGTTGGCGACTGATATAGCTGTTCGCCGCCGCTGTTGTACGACGACTGGTGATATGGCGAGCTATGTGAGCTGCTCGAGGTATTGCCGCCACTTCCAGCCAAGTGCTTGAGCAGCATTTTATTTGGTTGCGGTTGCATATCGATTGGCGTAAGTGGACCACCACTCGAGGAGGTGGCCGTGGGGCTTTGCTGGTAGCCACTGCCGCTAACACCGCCGCCTCCGCCGCCGCCGCCGACATGGTAGGCGCTCATGCCAGCTGCCTGGTGTTGCTGAAAAACGGGTGAATGTGTGGCGGCGCGATAGTCGACGAGGTTCGTTTGATATGCGAGTGGCAGTTTCTTTTGGGCGTTCGCTTGCTGCAGTTGCTGCAGCTTTTTCGCGTCCATGGTGGCACCGTTGAAGAGCGGTGGCGCGTCCAACCTGCAAGAGAAAAAATGCACATTTATTAGATTACGCTAGTAAAAATTGTATATCTTTGTATACGTGTGTAAGTGTGGTGGTGCAACCGTGATTGTCGGAATACTGAAGAGTTCATCTGATTAAATTCTTTGACGTAAACGGCATTAAGTTGCGTCAGTGTCGACCCCTTTCATTTCGTTGTTATTTATTGCTGCTGAGATTGTATCAACTTAATTGCTTTTAACTGATTAAAAAAAAAATGCCCCTCGCATATGCCTTTATGGGCAAACTCATCATAGTCTGAATCAAAAGCAAAAATGGAATTAAGTTGGCCTCACGNTGCTGCTGAGATTGTATCAACTTAATTGCTTTTAACTGATTAAAAAAAAATGCCCCTCGCATATGCCTTTATGGGCAAACTCATCATAGTCTGAATCAAAAGCAAAAATGGAATTAAGTTGGCCTCACAACCAACGCATGCAAGTGCTAGTCCGCTACATACATACTCGCAGATGCATCTGTACCAACAATAATTTTTTCTTTTTACTTTTTCTCTATAGAATTTTTCTACTTCCCTGGAAATACATATGCATAGCTATACATTTTATTAAATAAGTATATGTATGAATATGCATATGTATATGCGAATTGCATACAACGTTCGGACATCTAGACTTATTTGATGTACTAAGTTTCATAGACGGTCCCTTTTGAGGGCGACTCAGCTCCTGGGATGTTAGAAATAATTTCTTTGGAATTGTGTTCTCTTTCGAAAAAAGGGGCTATATTCTAATAATGACTCATTGTAGAATTTGATTTTGTAAAACTAAAAAAAAATTTAAATAAAAGCCAAAGTTTACCTGTTATATTTTGAGCATCAAAAAATCGGCAAATTTTGCGTTTTTAATTTTCAGCGATTGGTCGCATAATAAATTCTTAGTGCTCGTAATTTTCGAGACTTTTCAACATTTTTCGTGGCTTTACGAGATTTTTCAAATTTCACTTTGCAGAGTTGATTAAAAATTTTTGGAATTCTAAACTTTTTAGAAATTTTTGGGACTCTACAGGTTTACTTAAAGGTATTTTTGTGGGACTTTTAGTGGCTTTTGGTGATAAAATATGAATGCAGTTTGAGCATTTTCAAAATTAGTCTAGCGTCTCAAGTCGGTAATACATACATATGCACATTAGAGCTGGTCGACTTTTTTCGACTATGCAGGTATAGCATAGGTTTATTCTACATGAAATTCTAAGCGAATTTGCCGAAGAAACCAAGGGTCTAAAATCAATTTCGAGTTCGCAAAGTATGCGTTAAAAATTTTCTTATTATNTGCCGAAGAAACCAAGGGTCTAAAATCAATTTCGAGTTCGCAAAGTATGCTTTTAAATTTTTCTTATAATAAATATGCTTTAAGGGATTTTTTTGGATCAGGAATACATAACTGGACTTAAAGTACGCAGCTGGTAATCTGAAAGTTTAAAGTACGAAATTTAAATAAAATCATATTCTTTTCTGATTTTGAGCACAAAATTTTTTGGTATGCTGAGGACGCAAAAATAACTTTGAGCATGAAATTAAATTACCCGCGTCTAGGGGCATAACTACCAGTGCATATGTATTTATGTATGTATTTTAGTATATGTGGATATTAGAATGTACCAAAAAACCAAAGTTCCTTTTTTAGCGCATACTTCTTTATTTTATTGGTTTTGTCTTAAAAACTATCCGAATGAAATTTTATGCAATACGGACGACAGCAACTTGTGCCGACTTGTAGTCAAAGTTATATTTCGCGTATTTTGTTAATTTGTTCATTTTACTCCTATATAAAACGGTATTACTATACTCCCTACATTATTAGGGCCTAGCATTTAGTAAATCTGCGTTTTGGTCTCTTTTACCAAAATTTTTTCATATCATACGAAATTACAAACATTATATTTTGTGTATTTAATGTATTTATGAGAGACATTTTTTTTTAAAGGAGGAAAACAGTTTGTTACAAAAGTTGAATGTAATAATTTTATGTTCATCATACGCCCTGTCGGACCAATTAAAAAACGTTCGACAATTTAAAATTTTCAAATTATTCTACTAGAAAACATATAATTTAGCAGCGTTGTAATAGACCCTTACAAAGTACGTTTTCCATTAATTAATTTTCTCGATATCCTGATGTCCAATTAAAATAATAAAGATGCAGCTTTGCTATAAATGCTTTTAGATATGGGAAACCTAGTGAATTATTCGCATTTGCAAAGTTTTCATGGATGATTTGGTAGCCTCAATTCAAGCCACATATTAACTAAAACTTCAACTAAAAGTCGGCACGGGTTATCCTTCGGCCATAAAACTTTATATATATGTTACTTAGGCTAACCCCTACGGTATGCATACCAATAAAATTTGCAAAAAAAAAATACGTATATATTATATATATGTATATACTACACGCAACACGAAAGCAATACAATTTGTGCAATTTAGTGAATATTTCAACATTTTACCTTTCCACTCAGCGCCAATGTGTGTTATATTTTTTGTGCGCTTTTTTAATTCGTTTGCATACCATGAATTAATAATTATTTTACATGTATGTAGGGTTCGCTTTATGATGCAAATTACTCACCAGTCCCATAATTGGTAGATGCAACCGAACATTTTGCATGGATTTTATGTTATGCAGGCGCCCACATACGCAGATAATGAGATTATTGTGCGTTTGATGTTTTAATAAATATTTTTTTCATTTCATTTTATTATCATTCATTTATTGTACATATTTGTCTTTGACATACATGTGTGTGTGCCGCGATTTTTGATGGCATAATTAGATTATACACACATATTTTTTTGTTTTGTTTTTTTTTTTGTTAATTTTTCACGTGAGCATACATTTCACATCGACGTGCTGCATTTCTCTTTTTCACCAGCGCACAATTTTAATAAAATGTTAGATTTTTTCTTTGTTGTTTTTATACACAAACCAGTGCGAATATATTTTGTGATATGTTTTGTTGTTGCTGATCAGCTATTTTTGTGTAGTTGGAATTTATTTATTTAGGAATTTAGGTTATTTAGTTAAATGAATTACTTAAAAATTTAATAAGAAAATCTCTTCGCAGTTCGTTATGCAATTACAGTCATTTTTATTATTATTTTCTTTTTTGCAATTCAAAAATTCCTCAGCGAATGAAGGAATTTGTTTTCTTATATATGTATTTATGTTTGCATGTATATATATAGGTATGCACGAATGTTACATTCGCTCTCAACACATATGTATGTATGCACATAAAAATGTATCATTTCAAAAACTTTTAATAAGAAATTCTTCACATGCCGACTTGCCCCCACCACTCATCAGGCCCATAGTGAACTTGATGTCAGATAGCAGAATGCACGCATGTATAAATTTACATACATATATAGTACATATGTATACATGCATATGTAAATTAGCACATTGTGCTGACGTCATCACCGAAGTGAATTGCATCCTTTTTTGTTTGCTTGTTTTTCTGGTGCGCAGCGAATTGACCTAATTTCTCCATTTGCTTTTGCAAACTATTATATTTTTAATGTAATTGCTAGATTTACTTTTGAGTGCGTAACATATTTTAGCATAAACATTTTTAACTAGCAAGCATATTTTGATGAATATTGAAACATAGATGAGAAAAATTTACAATGAAATGCTTTTAAAATACATATATGTAGTATGTAGTAAATTATATGCAGTTATTTTGAAAATAAAATAGAAGTAAGCAAACTCCGTTTTTATGCGATACGATAAAACAAATTTTACTTTACTTAGTTATAACGGTTAATGATTGTTAAATGTAATACATTTATTTATTGCTAGTTTTTTTCCTGAGAGGATTATTATCTAGTAATTCAGCCTTTTTAAACTCCTAAATATATGTAAGTCAAAAAATATGCCGAAGATTAGAAGGTTTTTTTTGTTTATCACTGATTTTGTTTTTTCTATAGGATTAAATTTTCATGAATGACTTTCTCATGTAAAATCATCTGCCGTTCGAAGCCGATATAAAACTACAGGTCACTCCGTTTCTGTTATAATTAACAGCACGACACACACACCACAAATTCGAGCAAAACACTAAGCTAAAATGTAAGTACCAAATCTTTATTTTTTATACTATTACGTACAACATATTCAAGCTACATATGTACACACAATTAAGGCATTGCACTTTGTGCATACTTTCTGCTTAAGGTTACGTATACGCCAAGACTGACAAGAAATTGTTGTCCCAAATGTTGTTTTCTATAAAATGTTCAAATTCTTTTATACATCGTAAAGCAGCTCATACAATTGAAATATACAAACATGCTTTGTGTGTGTGTATACAAAAGAAGCGTAGCGTATGCATTCGCAGCGAAACTATCATCAACGCCACAGCAGAAAAATGTAGGCCGCAAAGGCAAATGACCGCCAAAAACATTGAAACTGATAAAATTTTTTTTATGTTCATCGCTTGCTTGTAGCAAAAATAAAATTGCATGGGAAATGAAATGAAGAGCTTAATGCAACAAACAAGAATGCAATTAGTGATTATGAAAAATAAGCTCTCGAGCAGAGTGCTATTGTGTCACATGCCGAAATATTTTCGTTTTTCTTTTAGCCAGAGATCGACAACATTTCACCAAAAAAACTGTATGTAGTGTAGCAATTTCAATAAAGGTATGCAGTTTTCGTGATAGATCAACAAAAAAGAGTCGTTCAATCGTCTTAATTAAATACAAAAAAAAAACTGAGCTCTTCAAATACATATGTATTTACATATTTTTAGACTACGACATGGATACTGAAGTGAAGTTGAATGGTATTTCCCAAAAAAAAAAAACAAAAAACATATACATACATAAGATGCGATATCTCAGTTTAAAGAACCCCGAACAATCGCCGAACGATTGATCTAAACTTTCCTCGCCACACAAGCGCGATGTACACAGCCAATCTGCAATGATTGCTATGGCTATAATTTGTTATTTTTTTATGAATTGTGTCCCTAACCAGTTCTGCTTGATCCCATGACTCTCTTTCTCCCTTACGTGAGAGAGTTTTAGCACCTCCCTCTATGGCATTGTTAGCAAACAGTTTTGGCAACCTGGGCACCAATGGATCTTATGATCCCCCCATGCTAATGAGCAACTCCCGCTATGCTCGAGCTTGGGCTGATATTGGCTCTGGTTCAAAGAACTTCACCGAGTTAGCTCATCACTTAGTTCTTTGCCTTAAGACCACAATGTTCTAGTGCCCAAATAAGCGTTTATTCACCAGGTGCAGCCTACTTATTTATAACATGGAATGGATGCATATTTTGATTGTTTTATCCACTTCATGCCGTCTGTTCGCTGGGTATATGGAAACACGTTGTCTACTGCCCTGATTCCGGTACCACTTTAATCCTTGTTGCGTGGTCATTTAAAGTTGCTTCAGAAAATATTCTACAAAGGTGTGCGTGCTGGTAATTACTAAGGTGTCGATGCACTCCACGTACCTCAGCTTGGAGGTTTTTGCTAGCGAACAAATACCCTTTCCCAGTTTGGAAATGAAGACTATCGAAACATTTCTCCAAATAGTGGGAATATGGCCAAAGGCCGAAAAGTCCAAGAGACTCTTATTAGAGCCCTTGGTAGCTTGTCTCACCTACACTTTATTGTCCGTCTTTAGTAGCAAGCATTCAGCGATCTGAGGCGTATAACTTGAAGTCTTCAAAAGAGAGATGATGTGCAAAAAGTGTAGTAGCAGTAGTGTTTTGACTTTAACTTCCCACGGGCCTACACACCGCAGTTTCCGCTTATGTCTTCTATGTATGTATGAATAATTAAATTTACGTTCTAATTAAAATTTTGTCACCAACTAAAGTATTCATTTAAATACATACTCATGCATCGTTAATTAGTCCGGCTAAATGCCTATAAATGCTATTTCTAATTAGCAACACTTTATAGTTTAATTGTTTGTCAAAAATTAACAAATTGCAATTAAAATTTAATAGTTATTAGGAGCAGCATTTTTCGAATTAGTAACATATTTCACATCACCAGGGATATCTGCCTATTCAGCTAATTTACAATGCAAATTTCATTAAATTTAAATGACATAATTGCCGTATTAATTTTTAATTGTTAAAGGTATACAAAAGCAAAAAATTACAATTGTAACTAACAAAATAAACCCTTGATAGTTATTCAGTAAAAAAAAATCTACAATATTTTGCTTTATATAAAACACTGTAAATTAGTTTCCAGTACGTCACCGCGCCCCATAAAGTATCTAATTATGTACATAAATATATAACTACATAAATCGTTGGGCACCTACCGCGGCGCCTTTGTAATGCTTTGTTTGCTGTTGTAAGGCTGCCCGTCTGCAATTTCATTACCCTAAAAGCAGCACAAGTGGGGCAATTTTATTGGGTTGTCCTGGTTGTGCGATTGCCAGTTGGCAGTTGGGTTTGTTGCTGCAGTGCCATTATGGTCTCGAATTTTAAAGCAAAATGTTTGCAAGAGGTCGCAGGCGCCTAAAGACGGGGTCATAAATATGTAGCCACAAGCAAGTAACTAACAAAAACATAAAGTGAAAAAAAAAATAAGTCTGAGCTAAGAGAGCCTAAAAAAGCAAGCAATGCCTAGCGACCATTTTGTTTCCGCTGCACGCGCGCTCGTTGAAAGCCTAGCCTAACGCTTTGTTGCCAAATATTTCTTTTACAAATGCTTTAGTCTTTTAAGCTGTGTTGTCATGACGGCTGTAGAAGTTGGCAGAATGGGCCACAAGCCACTTTTCGTAAAATGTCTGGCATTTTTACGTAAGTATACTGTTTGCATTATGTATAGTTTTTTTTTGGAATTCTGCTTATTGAACGGCAAATATTTATTCTTCGTTGCTTTTGACAATTCTGATGAAGTGATGCTTTCTTTTTGTTATTTCAATAGCTTTACTAATGAGCGAAAATATTTAATGATACAATATTTGCTTCATGAAAGCTAGGTGAAAGCGCATTCCCTATTTTTTTGTTTTTATTGTTGCGCATACGCAGGGGGGCACACTGTGATTTATTTCAACGGCAATTCCAATAGATGTTAGCAAAAAAAGTGGTAGCAAATGGCAGTCATTTGAAAGAAAAGCTTAAGAATGAATGAAAAATGAAAAAAAAAACAAATTTGTGAAAAAATAATTTTAAATTGAAGTATGGAAAATTTGGCTTTGATACTCCCGACGAACATCAAGGTAATATTGGTGTATGTATGTAAGTAATTTTGCCCTGTCAAAACGAGTAATTTAAGTAAGTATGATTGTAGTTAACGTTACATGTTAACTAAGTTATCATAAGCGAAAGCAGCAACAGCTACGTAAAGTGAAAAATACTAATGAACAATGTTCACGAAATTATTTAGGCATAGACTTTTATCTTCATAAAGACATAGTTAATTAAACGCGATGAACGTAAATTTCAGGCATTTTGTTTGAGCATATTGCAAAATTAGATACTTGGTAGAAAGATTAAGTCCTTATGTATTGTGTGTATTAAAAAAAAAAGAAGAGATTTATGAGACGACATTATAGCTGGTTAAGAAATCAATCAAATCTTTTTATCATTGCAACATTTCATTTAGGTGGACAGAGCAATTTGCCTTCATCGCACTGCACTTTCGTANCAAAAGATTTACCATTTATCACGTAAAAGTTAATAACGAACGAACGTACATGGCGTATGAGTAACGTTCTCACTTCGACTGAGTAAGCGACCTTAAGATCGCCTAAGAGATTTAAGCGAATCTGATCGATTTGACTTTTTTGCCGCCATATTGGATCCGCGATTTTGAATTGTTCCAATCTGACTTCAGATTCGATTCTGTCGCTTATCTGGATTTTTGATTTCCGATTCATAGAAAAGTTTTCTGTACCGTAGTACTCTCCGTAGTTTCTACCTGTATTGGTCGAGGTAGCTTACTTGGGGCCTTACTCA